GAAGAGCCCAATGCCCATCAGCTGAGCGTAATTACCTCCTGTAATTACGTAGTTGTTCTTGACTCCGAGTAGCTCTTCGACGCCGTGCATCCCGGAACAACTCACTGTTGGTTTCTGGATCACTCTCCTTTGTCTCCTCCCCACTGATCCAAGGCTCAGGTGCCACCTGGTGGCAACCAGTCTCTCTGCGTCCTGCTCGGAGTCGGAACCCTGTCCAGGGTCCTCCACATCCTCCAGGGCTGACTCATAGGGCCCCTTCGCTGTTGGAGTCTGGTGGCAGCTCCAACGGCTCCTGCTGGGCCACAACAGTTGTCTGCCACATCTATTCATCTCCGCCCCCTGCCTTTTATCCCCAGAGCTAGGGTGAGGTCTCGCTAGCAGTGGTAGCTCTTCTTTCCCAAGGACCGCCCCATAGATATCCATTGCTCTCCTCTCCTCTGCCTTCTGAGCATCTGGTGTCAGGCACTGGACCCAGCTGTTCCTCCTCTTCCTCATCAGCCACCTCCAGACATGGGGGCTGTTGACTCTCCATTTGAGGGCTGACAGATGGCCCAGGGTCCGCCCCTATCTCTCTCTCTCTGACAGCTCCATTCCCTCTTCCCACTCGGAGTGCTCAGGTTGCCCTGATGCTGACTCTGACTCTCATGCCTCCTCCTACTCCTCTGATTCGATTGCTATAGGGGCCGCCAGCCAACAGGCCAGGGCCTGCATGCTCGGTAGCTCCTTTCCAAAATGTGTAGGTATAACAGGATAACAAAGTTGGAAGGACCTTGGAGGTCTTCTAGTCCAATGCCCTGCTCAAGCAGGAGCGCCTATACCATTTCAGACAAAGGGTTGTCCAACCTCTTCTTGAAAACATCCAGTATTGAAGCCCCCACACCTTCTGGAGGGAAGCCATTCCAGTGTTTAATTTTTCTCACTGTCAGGAAATTCCTCCTTATTTCTAGATTGCTTCTCTCCTCAATTAGTTTCCATTTGTTGCTTCTTGTCCTGCCTTCTGGTGCTTTGGAGTTCACTTTGACCGAACGTTGGAAAAATATACATTTCCACGTCAGGCCACATTTCAGCTTCCGCTCTTTGGCGGTCAAACTGTCAAATTTCCTTCCGCTGAACCCCCCACCCCCACCCCGGCCCAAGGTGAAGAGAAGGGCTCCCCAGGATCGATCGGTCTTGTTCAAATGACCCTGGTGGCCAAAAACCTTGAGAAGGTGCTTCTCCCCGACGAAGTGCTGATGCGCCGCGTTTCGCAGCCAACTGGAAGGCCCCCAGAGGACGGACTCAGCACTAAGAGCTGCCGGTTCATAAGCAGATGTTCGGAGGACAAGAGAAAAAGCACAGCTTTTCGTTCTTGGGAGAGCAAAAATTGCTCCAGGTGTTGTATGTCTCCGAGGAGAAGGAAGTTTAGAAGGACTTTGAGCAAGGGGTTAAAAGTATTGCTACCTTGCACTCTTTCTAGAAAGCTGGGGCAGGGGAAGAGGAGAGTGTGGGATCAGCAGGTTTCAAAAAAGCAGAGAAACCAGCTGAGCTTGGCCCCCGTTGATGGAAAAACACATTCCTAATGATGAAGGATATAAAGAGGTTTTGGTTGAGGGCCAACACAATGTAAGGGCGAGCCCCCTTATCCGAGCTCTGTGCCAATTCAGTGTCCGAGTTCTAATTTAATCCAGGTGGTAAGACTCGAGATCGAGGAAGATGCAAGACTAAATGCACTGGTTTTTCTTTTCTGCAGAATTAATAAACATGATATATAGAGTGAGGCTATGAGTCAAGGCTGTACTTTTCCAAGTTGCAATGGATGGCTGTGAAAGTTGGACCATAAAGAAGGCTGAGCGCCAAAGAATGGAGGCCTTTGTACCGAAATACTACAAACTGAACTTGCTCAAAAATAATGTTTTTCCCCCCTCTCGCACAAAAATATCAGTTAAAGCTGTGAGAAACACGTTTCTGCTTTGTTCAAAGTCAACCTTGTCTACTCAAATACTCTTGCTTGGAGGTAAAACATCCAGAGCAATTTCTGAAAATAAATTGGATCGCTCTNGGACTTTGCTGGAGAGGAATTCCCTTCAACCTAAATAAAAGAGGTTTTATCGGGACGAGGAGTGGGCTTCATGATCTTGGGAAGCCTAGGTCAGAACACTGGTATAGCGGACAAAGCAAAGAGTGCCCGTGGCTTAGAGGTTAATATGTAAGCAGCCCGGGTTCGAATCTCAGAAGGGTACAGCTAGCTGACAAGAGCTAAATAGCTTGAAATAGATCAATACTAGTCTCCCTTTATTTTTTTGTTGGTAAATATAAATTTAACTCCCTGCAATAATGTCCAACATAAGATTCATTTTCCAGGATGCCAGAGTTGGGGCACTTACAATACAATGCAGCCTTGCGGACTTGGAGATGGTACTGTCTTGGTTGAGCCAACATGGGGGTTTGTGACTCTGTTCAACAACCAAAGCAGAAATGCCCGTGATGGATGCCCCCTTTGGATCAAGGATGGGGTGGGGGGAAGGGAGGGGAGGAACAGAAGAGAAGAGAAGGCAAAATGGAGAAAGGAGAAGGGAGAAGGGGGAAGAAGGGAGAAGAGAGAAGGAAGGAGGAAGGAGGAGAAGATGAGAGAAAACGGGAGAAGAAGGAGAAGGGGAAGACAGGAGAAGGCAGAAGAAAGGAGAAGAAGGAAGAGGAGAGAAGGGAGGAGAGAGGAGAAGGGAGGAGAGAGGAGAAGGGAGGAGAGAGAAGATGGGAGAAGAAGGGGGAAGGGAGGAGAAGAGAGAAGAACGGAGAAGAGAGAAGAAGGGAGAAGAGAGAAATGGAAGACGAAGGGAGGAGAGGAAGACAGGAGAAGAAAGGAGAATGGAGAAGGAAGACGGGTGAAGAGAGGAGGAGAAGAGAGGAGAAGGGGGAAGAAGGGAGAAGATAGGAGGGAGGAGGGGCAGACAGGAGAAGGGAGAAGACGGAAGAAGGGAGAAGAGAGGAGAAGGGACGAGAGAGAAGAATGGAGAAGAGAGAAGAAGGGAGAAGAGAGAAATGGAAGATGGGAGAAGGGAGGAGAGGAAGACAGGAGAAGAAAGGAGAATGGAGAAGGAATAAGGGTGAAGAGAGGAGAAGGGAGAAGAGAAGAGAAGGGGGAAGAAGGGAGAAGATAGGAGGGAGAAGGGGAAGATGGGAGAAGGGAGAAGACGTAAGAAGGGAGAAGGGAGGAGAAGGGAGAAGAGAGAAGAAGGTAGAAAGCGGGAGAAGAGGGAAGAGAGAAGTGGTGGGCAGAGAAGGGGAGGAACTTATCTTCATGCCACCAAAGAGGACGAAGCTTCAAACCCAACCTATTTTTGAAGGACCATTCGAGAAGTTCACTAGAACTTCAGAGCTTCCTACCAACCCCCCGTCCCCACCTGCCATCAGCGAGAACCCTTAAAAAACAGGCCGCCGGGCCAATCAACTCCCACCTCACTCAGAGTCTCTGGACCGTCGCAGCTGGGCGCACTCGCCTCCTCGTCGGAAGCCCCCAGCAGAGTCTGGCTTTCCTCCGTCCGTTCAAGAAGCTACACAAAAGCGTGGAATGAGATGACAAAAAAGGCTGCATTGGTCAAAGGAAACCGAGTGATATGACGCATGTACAAACAAGTAATGCCTTAAAAAAAGAAAAGGAAGGAAAACAGAGAGACGCCTGCAAACAAGAGGAACAGATACGAGGTTATTTAGCAGCAGCGCCGGCCCAAGAGATAGCAATAGCACTTAAGACTTATATTCCGCTTCCCAGCCCTCTCTAAGCGGTTTACAGAGTCAGCCTCTTGCCCCCAACAATCTGGTCCTCATTTGACCCACTTCGGAAGGATGGAAGGCTGAGTCAACCTTGAGCCAGTCAGGATCCAACTGCTGGCTGTGGGCAGAATTAGGCTGCAACATTGCATTCTAANCCCTCTCCTTCCCCTTCCTTCTTTCCTTACCTCTCCCCTACTCCTACTCTTCCCCTTCCTACCCTCCTTCTCTTTCTCTCCCTTCCACCCTCTTCTCCTTACCTCTTTCTTCTTTCCCTGCTCTCCTTCTCCTTCCTTCTTCCCTTACCTCTCCCCTACTGCTCTCTTTCTCTTCCCCCTCTCCTTCTCTTTCTCTCCCTTCCACCCTCCTCTCCTTACCTCTTTCTTCTTCCCCTCCTCTTTCCCCTTCCTTCTTCCCTTCCCTTTCTCCTACTCTTCCTCTCCCTACCCTCTCTCCTTCTCTTTTGCTCCTTTCCATCGTCCTCTCCTTACCTCTTTCTTCTTTCCCCCGTCTTCCTCCCATTCTCTCCTCTCCCTTTCTTTTTCTATTGTTGTCTGTGTCTATTTTAAAACTCAGTAGAGCTCAGAAATTGCCATGTCTTGAGCTGCTCACTCACCGAGATTCTAATTCCGCCGCTCCGTTTTCATCCGGAAGGCACACAGGCGAAGGAGTCTCTTCCCGCGAATCACCATTGTCGGCTGCTGGGCTCCCTTCAAAGTATTTGCCGGCAACCGGCTCGGGTTCAAACTCTGGTGGGTTCAGCGTCTTGTAGGGTTGATCCAGAGGATCCAAAAGGATGATCTGATGGGGGGGAAAAGGGGGGGGGGGATATGCCTTGCTCTTTGGCTGATGGAAAGGAAATGTGTAGACCAGCGTTCTCAACCTGTGGGCTGGGACCACTTTGGGGGTCGAACGAGCCTTTCATAGGGGTCTCCTAAGACCATCAGAAAACACATATTTTCGATGGTCTTAGGTACCAAGACACCAATTTTATGGTTGGGGGGGTCACCACTACATGTGGAACTGTATTAAAGGGTCGTGGCATTGGGAAGGTTGAGAACCACTGGTGTAGACACATCTGTCTACCACTCTAGAGACAGGATAACTTGAGCATCACCATCGACTCTGGCCTAAGAGAAAGACCCTGTAATAATAACTTTGGGTAGACCAGGTTGCCCTGATTTTAAAAAAAAACCTGGTTGTTGTGGACTGCCAGTGGAGCTGGTGGCAGACCCAGGCAGTGAGGAGGTTGGGGAGGAACATGGGCCAGTCCTGGAGCCTGGGGAAGGCTCTGATGAGGCCAGAGCCGTGTACCAGTTATCAGCTGCCTTCAGAGTCAGATATCAGTGAGGCAGATGAACAGCTGGAGCCTGTTCCCAGTGTTGCATGCACAGAGTTGCCAGGTGAAGGGAACAGCTAAAGATCAAGGGTCGACTTGGGAGTAAGGCCACAGGTGGACGATGAATGGCCCCTCCCGGAGGAAATAAAAGAGGAGCAACTGGGGAGTGGAGTTTGCAGGAGACAATGAGGAGTTCAATTCATTAGGGTGACGTTCTATTCCTGACTTTTTGACAAGTAATTGCTGCTACAGCATGGAGCTTGGAAGATATCGGCCTGGCAGCTCTCCAAGCCTGAGAAAGGCCTGTAGTTGTGAAATCTCTTGAAAGACTGTTGGCCGGGACT